ACCTCACTAGTAAAGAAGAATTGCAGACTTCCGTGATAAAAACGCCCTTTTGAGTATTAGCCTCACCTGGACGATAGTGCTACACAATCAACTGTTTTTGCTTTGGTTCCCTTTGTTTCTTTTTGGTTTTTCATTTTTTTGGTAGTTTTTCAGTGTCGAGTTTCTTCGTTGTACACCAATTTTAATCTAATATGACAGCTTGTCACGCAACGTGCTGCCTCTGTTATGTGACCATAATAAGCCTGAACAGTGGCGCTGAAACAAACTACATCTTTTTGAGTTATGCAGAGGTAAGATTTGAGTGATTTGTCGATCATCACGGTACCGAAAATTTTCACTTTTATTGATATGAAATATTACCGTAACCCAATGACAATTGTTTTTTCGAAATCGAGTTTTCTCTTTTTACTTTCGTCCAAAAGCCTTCGCAGTTTTTTCGTCAAGTCTTGGATTCATTTCTGTCAGAAAAGAATAAATAAATGTATCAGTAAAATTACTCATAAAATGGAATTCACGAAATACGCTTGTGCAAATTTAGTAAGATCTTGTAATAAAGTTAACTCTTTATTTTGCCAAGTTGTTTTAACTTCTTTTTTCTAGAAAACCATGACTTGTACTTGTACCATGGTCGCCTAACGTTTAGCGCACTTGAACGGGTCGAGGGAAGCCCTAATTATAAGCAACTGCAGGAGCATATCTTTGCCCGCGAGAAAAGAATAACCCTTGAGCAACGCGAGCCGCCAAGAGATACGCAAGGGTGTAGCTCTGAAAATTAATGCCAGACTCCCGGAGAACCTCACCTCGACTCTTTTCGAATCAGGCGGAGTAACGCGCGACTTGTAAGGCTGCCCGCAAACTATGCCGAGGGTTTTAAGTTTGGGACCAGGCCTGACGAAATATATAAAGTTGTGGGGAGACATGGAGACTTAACCTTTCCTATTGAAAATCCTTGATTTTTGCTGTCGTCTTAACCTTGATTTGTTTTTTCTCAAATGTTTAATAAACGTTGAAGATCGTTCCCTTCTTAATTTTTTACAAAAGAAAGGCACTTCAATTGAGATATATTCCGGCGGAAAGTGCCTCTCGTACTTGGGAAAGAAGTGTTTATCTTGATGTTTGTACCAATTCACAGATGGTGGACTAACATCAAGCAAAGCTTGGTTATGCTTACAACTCACCTTCAACGTTTCTCTTCCTCCTCCAGCCCGCCACCCCTCCACTGTTACCAGCTGCCTGATTCAGTTCCTCCATTCTGTGTTCCCTCGCTCGTTCCATCGTTTCCTCGTAATCTGCACTTGTTGTGTGATGTGTGATGAAGTAGAAGCCGATCAGCGAAAGAGCGAATGTAGTTAGACAAAGTCGCATCTGCAAACAACAGAACATCAGATAATGCGAAAAAATGTTTTATTCGCACCTGCACTCGCAAGTTTCTTTTTGGCAAAGTTCAGCAGCGAGGAAACTTGCCAAGGATTCTTTTTCAGTGAAACTGCGGAGAAAGGATTTCATGGACAAAAAACTTTTACAAGTCTCATTCAACTTATCTGCAGGAAAATGTTTTTCGGCTAGGAGCAAACTCCTTATCAAAGGTGCAAGTCAGTAGAAATTAAAATAAAGATGAACCGGTTCACTCTGAATGCCTCCATTCTCAGAGTTTAAGCGGTGCCCGGTTTTTTTTTTTCCCCGTTTCCTGTTGACTCTTACAACGGGTTTCTCGGGGAAGAAAACGGCTCGCATTCATGGTCTGGAAAATGTCGCGCTACGGAAATGTACTTTTTTTTGAACATGTCCCCATTTTTCGCTTGAAATCTGATATTGTACTAAAAGCAAAGTAATCGATCTCTTTAAAAAAAATCTAAAAAAACAAGCTAGTAAGCGTGGGGGAGCGGTAATTGCAAAATTGTTAAAAGCTATGCTCATTAACATTAGGTTTAGACACTTTCTCCAAGATTCGATTTGCTTTAAAATTACGTAATGATTTTATCTCGGTTTTTACGGGAATAAAAAAGAATCAAAACTGTTCACATTATGAACACAACTGATTCCGTAGTGCTCCTTTAAATTCTTTTCCAGAAAAAGAAATTGGGGACAAAGAACAGAATGAGTTAGTGAAAGAACGACTTGAGTGTATGCTTTTCGCTCAGTAGCTCCATAAAATTTTCCACAGGGCTGGTTTCAATTTCAATTAGGATTTCTGCACGTCCAAAGAAAAATTGAAAACAACGTCCATGCACAATCTTATCAGGTTTGCACCACCCGATCTACTCCTTTGGTGAATTTTAAAAGTAGCAAACTGGAATTCTGAGAAATTTTAACATGAGCTAGGTTGGTGTATCGTTGTCTAAACGGTATTGCATGCAAAATTACTTCAAATTCATCTTACTTCGTTTTGGTTTTAAAAAAATATCAAAACAAATTAAATTAAGCTATTAACATAATTTCCATGACTATTTCAAAACTGCTAAATTTTTCAGATTATTAGATTATCTATGGAAAATATTGTTTAGTTACCTCTTGTTCAAAACACAATGCCGCCAAGTCACCTTTAAAGTGCGTTGCAGAAAAGAACATTGGGAAACACTGAATCATCTCGCTGAAAGATAGATTTAATCTTACTCTGCTTCCTTTGCAACGTTTACAAATCATCATTCATTCCATCTTCAGACCGGTAAAAGCCGATCAGTTAATGGATGACGTTTCCGACGTAAAACGTTCGGAAACGCATCGTGTTTGGCTAAGAAGGGTTTTGTTTTCTGGACATTTACGTCAGTGACTACTATCATAACGAGTAATTACCAAGTCCCTAATCGTTAACGAAATCTCGATCTTTTATTAAAGCAGAATTATTCCTTAATCTATATCGTATGTATCCAGCCGGCTGGCTTTCCGGTTAATAATTAGAATCATGCTGATCCTGAAATGACATGACTTGATGTCTTAGCAGTGATATCCTAACCGCAAAGCGAGAATATACGAATCGAAGGATGCCATTTCAATCCGCTTGATTTCATTCGTCTAAGTAAAAAAAAAAAAAAAAAAAATTTATTTTTGAAATTATCTACGTGAGACTTTTTTTACTCATTATTTGGTTGTTTAATTCAGGATGTTTATTTACAAAATGACAAAATAAATTGATTTTATCATCAAAAATGTCAATCAAGTCAGGCGTTTGTCTTTCAGAAGTTCTTCTTTCAATAGAAAGCCACTTACCATTTTTTTTTCACCTTAATTTGTAAGAAGGAAAGTACAATTATAGATCTAAGATGTAGCTATTGAACGAATGACAATCATATCTCGGAGGTCTTTTTTTCTTTCATCATATTTTCTTATATTGACTTACATTAATGAAGGAAAACTGGTAAAGTGTAATTGATCTTAGGTTCACAGACTCAAGTTGCATGACGTTATCTTTGGACAAAATCTCTAGTCTCTCCGGACTCTACACCCTTTTTTTTTTTAAATTTTCCTGGTGGCCATTTTTTTTTTTATTTTTTTTTTTTATTATTATTATTGTCCCTTCCCTTTTTTATGTCCGGTAAAGGCGGAAGAAGCAGATCTGAGTTTCAAGACATTTGTAACTTGATCTTCCATCTTCTCAGATAATCAAAAATACTCAGTTCCCTTTGAATATTGATCTCATTCATCAGACCAGTATTCAACTTCAATGGGGTAGTTTTCTTTCTTCATTGCCGTTATTTCTTGCTAGAAATAATGGCCTCCAGAGTTTACAAATCTGAATTTATTTTGTCTAAGGCTGCCTAATTACCTTTACGGCCCCACCTCATCAGCACTCAAGTCGGAGGTAAACCCGTCAAAAGCTGCAAACGTTTGAACGGTTTTGAACAGACAACGCTCATTTGATACTAAAAAAGAAGGAATATTCGTTTGCTTACAAAGAAATACATGAAACCCACAAACAATGTAAGAAAAGTGAAAGAAGAGCACGTTAATGGGGTAAAACCATCAGCCGTCAAACTGCCTGAAATTTAAAAAAACGCAAGCCGTTGGCAACGATGTTTGGACTTTTAATTTTGGGATCGAGGTATTGTTTGAAACTAATGAATAACAAGTGCTAGAGTTCCTAATAACACGTTTCATTTCACATCGTCAATAAAAGAATAAATGTAAATTATAATTCGTATCAAAAATACAGAAAAAATTTGAATTAAAAATCAGCAGAAACGTCTCCCCAACCATGAAGATTAACTCCCTCTTCCCCCTCGGCCCCCCCCACCCCAGGAGATCTGAATCGAGGAGACAACGAATTCCTCACACTTCACACTTCACACTTCACACTTCAAGAGAAATTTTAATCTTTGCTTATAATTGCTAAATGTGGACGGTCTCTTCCTTCTCCCGTCCGTTTTTTCTCGTTCTACTCACGGATCCTAGGGGCGAAGAACTCAATGTCAACTCTATCTTAGGACTTCACTGTTATTGCACGCTCTTGTAGCTTTTAACAAATTTTAAACTACTGTATATTTGTAATTTCTACTCAGAACCAGCCTGAAAATCACCAAAGGTTGAGGTTGCCTCCCGACTAAAGATATTTATTTATCATTTATTCACACTTCCTGATTGCGCGGACATTTCGGTGTCCTAAACTTTGTCGTCAGTGAGATCTATAGAAGAGTATTCGGATCATAAATTGCCATTAACTGAGGAATTTAACTGTTCTCTCGTGCAGTAAATCGTATGAATATAATGATATGTACGAAAGCGATCCTCGCAGTAATGAACCTTACGTATGTAGTGGTGGAAAATAGGGCCTAAAGAAAATTCAGGCCCGTGCGGGATTTGAACCCATGACCTTTGCGATACCTGTGCAGTGCTCTATCAACTGAGCGAACAAGCCAACTGGGAGCTGGTCATTATGTTGGTTCGTATTAAACCCGTCGAAGGGATAAATCGATGAATTAGGATATATGAAAATCATAGATGTGTATTTGCGATTTCATGAAATGTATGAAAGCGATCCTCGCAGTAATGAACTCTACTTGTGTAGTAGTAGAAAATAGGGCCTGAAAAATACATCATCACGATTGGAAATGTATAAGCACGGTCTCATCAAAACCAGACAACCAGAATACAAATTCAACCACTCGAAACCGTAAAACCTTCGAAAAATAGGATCCTTCTAAGGTGAATTGGGGACGCTTACACGAAAAGGACACCAAGGAAAATCCTAATTGTTTTTTAAAAATTAAAGCGAAAATAAACCTTTTTAGCGGAAAAAAAACTGAAAGTCATCTCAAAACTGACTAAAACATGAAAACCCTATGTTCCTGTAACAACCAACTCCCAAATACCTTTTTGTCCGAGCTTGATTATAAAGCAATGATTAGTCTGTTGCAGATTCCAACTACGACAGTTTGGTCTTCATCGACGCCAGTAGTTTAAAGACTAGTTTATCGTTCATCCTAAACGTTTGTTTAGATAAACTGCGGAAGCACTCACACCTGATAAAACAATGTTGGAGCCTAAGTTATTAGAAAGTCATCAGATTTGTTTAATTTAGCAGAAGTGTTGACAAAGTTGCAACCCATCAGCTCTCAGGGTCCAAGAGACTCGCTGCTCAAGGACTCAATGGACACCTTCTTACTTCCTTTTTATTGAGATATTCCGTGGTTGTCATAGTCTTCATGAATATTTTGAGATGTTTTGAGCTTTACTCCACCTACGCATGATCAACGAATCAATCCAAATTCGCTCGTGTATTCTAAGTTTGGACCACGGTTGTGAACCTTTTCATTCAGTTACCGCTTCTTTTGTCTTCAATCTTGACCAAGGAAAATTCCAACTCGCGGCTGTAAGTGAGAAAGCCTCACCCATACGTGTCTCCGGCGCATAAATCCAGTGTCTTCAACACTTTCACGAGCTGCAGACGCAAGAGCTTGAATAACCTACAGCACGATTTAGAATTCAAAATTTTAAAATTGTTTGTCAGTTATCCTCCAGAATAACTTGACCATATAATCTCTTGTGTGATATATTTTCGCGCTTACAAAGCATTCATATTTAACGTTTTATTTCATGCGAAAGTAATTCTTGCCACTGCTGAAAATACCCGAAAATACATATACGTAAAAATCTTATAAATTTGAATGACCTCTTTGATGTCACCACAAAACCTCGGTGACAAATAAGTGAGAGTGTAGAGGATGAATAGAGCATCTTTGCCTTATAAAATCGTCCAGCGGTTCCAATTTTTCATAATGTATCGACATTTTTAAGTTGGGCACAAGCACGTCGAACATAGTCCCTGAATGTTTCAGAAGAGTTTCAGCGACGTCTTACAGGAACGAGAACGTTTTACAAATAAACTTAAACTCTTCCGGTTACATTCTGGATCTTAAGATTTTCGACAAGTTGTTATGCAAAATCTTAACCGGAAAATAATGGACACGCCTCTAAAAAGGGAAGAAAATTTGCGTGCCTTGTTAGCGAAAGTTGAAGCTATTATTTGATCCTTACAATAAAAGCAGTTAGAACTCAAAAATGAAAATAGAGAACTATTTTGCTTTTTAAAATACTATTAGCTGCGAAAAATATACATTCACACCCCCTCGTAGTGTGGGAATATACCGTGATATACAGCTTGTATGTGAGGGGTGGACCCAAACGTCTACGTGTCATGAAAAGTCAGGGATAAGTCCACGTGTACTCTCAAGCGGTTACGACGTGATTGATTGCGATTACACGAGGAAAACCAACCACCGAACATGCATGTGGGTGACTTACGCACAAGATCTTCGAATGTTCTTAAAATTCCCGATCGTTGAATACTTCACGATAAAATCTGACCGAAATATGGAAACTGCGCTTCATTACCCTATTGATAATCATTTAAAAACGCGTTCAATGTTTGACCACTGACGTTACAGTCCATATCTGTAATGACAATCATTCTTGTTGTCACGTTCGTCGCGCGAAAATTTGTGGGCAACCCGCCGACCAAACCAATCGGGAAAACTGCCTTGGCAATTACAAAGATTTTCAGAAACTGGTAAACTAGACTGGAAATTTCGATTTAATGAGATGATAATTATAACTTATTTGAAAGCTTAGGTACGAGTGACTAAGACGGAATTTCTTATTATAATATCAATGCAAAATCAAGCTGACAAATGATGAGAATAACATGACGAGCTTTGCTCAAGAAAAAAATTCTCAGCAGGCATCGTAAACTGATGCCGAGGTTTGGGGAAGAAGGCGTTGGGTGGATGTCATCACATTAATTACACCTACTCAGAACCAGCCTGAAAATCACCAAAGGTTGAGGTTGCCTCCCGACTAAAGATATTTATGAAAATTTTTTTCGGCTGGGAGCAAACTCCTTATCAAAGGTGCAAGTCAGTAGAAATTAAAATAAAGATGAACCGGTTCACTCNTGTATTAGCAGTTTACGGCACGGACGATTAAAATATTTTATATTTCGAAAACCTGTAAACTAACCCTATTGCGAATCATAAAGGCTGATAGTTTCGAAAGAAACTGTTTGGGGCTGCGTCGGTGGGAGTAACGAAATAATTTGGATATATCAACAAAGTTGAAATGGTAAATTGGCCACCGTAACGATTACAAAAGCTGACGTTTCGAGCGTTAGCCCTTCGTCGGAGCGAATAGAGGAATTGTGGGTTGTGTGTGCTTTTAAAGGCAGAAAATGGAGCTACGTTATTGGTGGGAACATGGCAACGAGAAAAACAAGAATAAATTAGTGGAATGAAAAGCGTTCGTTGATCCCTGTGGGATTTAGACTGCCGATTTGAAAGATGAGCTTTTGTTCAAGATTTTTACGGCTTTCCGTGCTACCTAAGTGTAAGGAAAGACCGCAGATTGCCATATGTTGCTTAGAATGATTAGGTAAATTAAAATGTCTAGCGACTGGTTTCGATGTGTCCTTGTCATTCCTTTCCAACTCACGAAGGTGTTCTCGGAATCGGTCACCTAGTCCTCTGCCTGTTTCGCCGATGTATATCTTTTTGCAATAAGTGCAAGTTATGCGATACATTCTGGATCTTACGATTTTCGACACATTCTTGTGCAAAATCTTAACCAGAAAAAAACGGAGATGCCTCTGAAAAGGAAAGAAAAATTGCGTACTTTGTTAGCCAACATTGAAGCTATTTTTTGGATGTTTAAAAAAAGCAGCTATAATTTGAAAATAAAAATGGACAGATACTTTGCTTTTTTAAATACTATCTACTTGGGAAAAACACATTCACACCCCCTCGTAGTGTGGGAATATACCGTGATATACAGTTTGTATGTGAGGGGTGGGCACAAACGTCTGCTGCGTGTCATGAAAAGTCAGAGAGAAGTCTACGTGTACTCTCAAGCGTTTACGACGTGATTGCAAATACATGAGGAATTAAACCAACCACTGTACATGTGGGTGGGTGATTTACGCACAAGATTTGCAAATGTTCTTAAAAAATTCCCGGTCGTTGAATACTTCACGATAAAACCTGACCGAAACATGGAAACTGTGGTTCATTACCCCACCGATAATTATCTAAAAACGCCTTCATTGTTTGACCGCTGACCGTACAGTTCATATCTTAAGTAATGACAATCATTTTTGTCGTCACGTTCGTAGTGAAAATTTGTGGGAAACCCGCTGACCAACCGATCGGGAAATATGGCTTGGTAATTCCAAAGACTTTCAGAAACTACTAACTTAAGCTGGAAATTTCAATTTTATTAGATGATAACTTATTGAAAGCTGAGGAACTAGTAATCAAGTTGCGACCCCTATTAGCGCCTTAACTCCCATTAGTGACCAAGACGGAATTTCTTCTTATCAATCAATCAATCAATCACTACTTTATTTACCTACGTAGCGTCAAGGAGTTCATAGAGCTCGTTCAAAATACGTACGTGCCTCTAAGATTAAGAATCTAAAAAACCTAATACATACTGTCAAAACCTAATTGATAAAATCAATGCAAAATGAAACAGACAAATTATGAGACTATAAAAAACTATCAATTAAGGGATTATTAGTTGATTCGTTATCAAATTCTCCAACTAACACCAGACGAACTGTATGACTCACAGTAAGGAAAATTACTTATGAGATCTTGGGAGTAAAAAACAATATCAACGATGGGGCTCGAAGACTGGAAGAATGTATCAATCTTATCAGAGTTGGCGAAGGGCTGATTGCCCCTACTTGTCAAAGTTTTTTCATCCTTTGCAAACTTAAAAGAGAATGTAGAAGGTCATCATGAAGCAAATTAGCCAAAACATGTGGATAAAACCCTCGTTATCAAGAATTTTACCCTCGCTTTAGGAGGTTAAAGTGAAAAAAAATAATCTGCCTCAACAATGCTCTACAAACAGCGAAGTGCTTATCAGAACCTTAACTTCACAGAACATTGACTGTTGCTCCTAGCCGTAACTCACAACCCCTTCTTCCTTCGCCATGAAGTCACAGGCTTGTGTATGAACTTCTTATACACGTTAGCTAAGAATAGAATTCACAATTGACCAATCAAATACATATATTTGAATAGGCTGAAATGCAGAGGCGGATCCAGGAATTTTTGATTGGGGAGGTCCAAACTTTGGTTCAGAAAGGACTGTTGGACTCTTTGAGGCAAATTACTTCTCCCCCACACCCCCTTCCACAAGTCGCGGTTGCACGTTATAATTCCTTGGCTGCTCACCCTTTATTTGGATTCATTAAAAAAATCAGCCAGTTAAAAGTGATATACGACCCTGTCTCAAAGTTGTAAGCGTCAGGTTTGATAGGGGGGGTCCGGATTCCCCGGACCCTCCCCCTGGATTCGCCACTGTGAAATGTATGTTTGAGATTATTTCTAGAAGTGATTCATTACCGATATTTCTCGGATTTGATCATGTTGGCAACGGTTTGAATGATCATGTATCCGGAAAACACGTACGGCGGTAGCTAGAACCTTCCTACACGTGTGACACAGTATGTGACAGATCGGTATTTAGGCGGCGTACTTAGTTTGACGCGAAACGGGAAATATAAACCTCAATTACGAAATAAAGATTGCTCAGATCTACGCGTCAGAAATTCTGCACGTCGTTCAGAGAAGGACGTTTCTTTAATGACAAAAATGAAATGGACTACGAGGGCTTGGACCTCATTTGTCTTCACGTCGTGTTTTCGAGCTCTTTTATGTTATGGCACGCTTTGCAGTTCTTGTGACCTTTCGATGAGATGGGATCTATTATTAGAAGTGGAACTTTATTTGCATCCGGTGTCAGTTTCAAGAAGCCAAATAAAAGACACGGAGTTCTTTCACAAACGGGTCATATCAACTTGGGTTACGCAGGAGACTAAATTATTCTTCAGCCGGACCGCAATTCCTTTTCAGCAGTACCAGGGTAAGTGATCTTTGTTAGTCATAGGATCCTTTAAATTTTACCGTTTAAATTACTCGTCCAAAAGGTTTGGAAAGCTTTTTTTTTTTTTTCGTATGAAGTAGTCCAACCTTTCTCTCGATACAGCTACGCCTCGTTTGTTTCGGTTTTCTTTGAGAGGTAAAAAATGAGCCCAAAACAACACGATATCTTAAATTTAAAATCATTGTAATTTAGTCAGGACAGGTAAAAACAGCGTAATGGTAATCAAGAAACATAACCTTGTTCATCGAAAAAGTTAGGGAGCAGACACATCTTTCAAGATGGAAGACAGTCAACACGTAGTTACTAAAACAAGGAATGACCTACAATGATCTATAATGAGCTACAATGGCCTACAATGGGCTACAGTGAGCTACAATGGGTTACCGTGGAAACAAGTAATGACCTAAAATGATCCACAATGACCTACAATGGTTTACAATGGCTTACAATGAGCTACAATGAGCTATTATGAGTGTACAAAAAATTGTGGCGTGACTTGCGTGACTTTGCGCGTGGGTTCGTCATTAGGCGAAAAAGTTTAAATAAAGATACCTAATAAATAAACTTACCAAGATTATTTCATGAATCAAGCTTATGATCTGTTCCTCACAAGATATTTACACAAGACAACAGCAACTTAAGATGACACAGAATGGGTAAAAAGAGTAAATGGTGCCAAAGAAGACTGACATAGCCTCATGATGGTGTGATGACCTTTTTGTTTTGCTGTCTAAAAATATCAATGAGTAAAAGGTGTTGACAGGCCAAATACGACTCATAGCCTCATGATAGTGTGAAATTATGGGAGGCTTGTGTGAGACCCTCAAAGACATCTTAAGCCAAAGGTTTTTCGCATTTTTTATTTATCGTCATCGTCATTATACATGTCTCATTATAATACACCGTAAATTTATCTCCAAGCTAGAAATTCTGTTATCATTTGGCCTGTTATTCAGTAGACAAAAAGCTAACACGTTACGTTAATGCACACGTCTCCTGTTTTTTTTTTCTTTGCCTTTTTCTAAAATCTTCATTTCCTTCATTACAGGGATTTTACAGTAGCTCATTGTAGGTCATTGTAGATAATTGTAGGTCATTGTAGGTCATTCCTTGTTTTAGTAACTACGATAGTCAACATCCTAAATGATGAGCTTGAACATTTTTCTCTTAATTTTTCCCAGATGCACCATCCAGTTGGTTGGATCTAAATTACTGTATTCATTCATCTTGGATGAATACTAAAACATGTGTCATACTCAATTTTCACTCAACACTTTTACAGTCGCTTATTCAGGATTAAGAGAAATGCGGTTGTCATTCGGAGTGGAAAAAGCGCATTTTAGGTCGAGCAGAAGCTCTGTTTTTTTTTGTTTTTTTTTTCAACACGAAGTAATGTCTGATCATGCGATTCGCCCAAACGTTTCGGTCGCAAAGGATGACGGCTTAGGAAAGAAGTTTTAATACTTATTTTCTGTATCTCACTGTCGCGATAAATATATTGGAATGTTTCGGCGATGATTTTACTTATGCGAAAAGAGAATCTGGTTTTCTGTTTGCTTGACTTAATAGATAAGGCAATATTTTCATAATGATGATTTAAACGTCCTAAGTCATTCTATGCGAGGACGGATTTTAAGGCAACGAGGCCTTTCGAAAATTGATTCGTGGAGTATTTGGTTAGGTTCTCCTAGCTTGTAATGTTAGGACACTACCTGCATCTGTGCTTGGTAAAATCAAGAGATTGTAAACAGTTTACATTCTAAAAAATAATAACTAAAAAAGTGATAAAACATCTAAGAAATTTTTAGGTTTTAAACATGGTTCTGATTTCACATATTTCATATTTAGGGCCAAACGACAATTTTAGGTCAAGAATCACCATGAGACAAACCGGCTTTGTTTTCGCCACCCTCGTGTTCATCATTTTATGTAAGTAAAATTTTTTCTTCCTAAATTCCTCCAGTCTCGTGGCAATTGGAGTGCAGTCTCCTCACAAATAATTAATCTATGAAGATGGTTTGAAGACCCCATGGAACGCTTCATATTCAAATAGAAGTCTTTCCTTAGTCGAATTTCCCCAAATAAGAGTTTTAACTGAAAGATTTAGGCTCAGGTCATTTGATATTTGTGTATATGACAAGCTCGAACTTTAAACTTGGCTTTAGGATTAAATGTCGTTGATTTTAGAAAGGTACTCCTTGTCAGTGCTTTGAAAACAGTCCTTCTCCCATCTCCAATAGCTGTAGATTAATGTAAAGCTAAGGCGTAAGGCTTAATAAATGTTGATTTTAGAAAGGTACTCCTTGTCGGTACCTTGAAAACAGTCTCTCTCCCATCTCCAGTAACTGTAGATCAATGTCAAGCTAAGCGCAGGCCTTGTGGCTTCGAAACCATCGACCGAAACAAAGGCAGAGAACCGCGGGCTCTTAGTCCTTATTATGATCGTTGCTGTGGTGATAGACCTTACGACCCAAGGAAAGAGCTGTGCTGTGGACTCGTCGTAAAGAAAAAGACTGGTTCTCAAAATGCGTGCTGCGGAGTAGTTCCGTACGATAGCAGCAGATATACCTGTTGTGGAGGGACTATTACTCCCCGAGCTTCTGGTCATCAACATCTGAATCGTTGCTGTGGGTATGTATTCAAACAACTGGCCAATTTTAGAAGAGGTTGTTTTCTTGGCAAAACTTATCTCGAATGTTATACAGTGATCCCTAAGCGTGCATCCCAAGGAAAGATTGTTAGTAGATCCCAAGAATAGCTTGTCGGAGGGCTCAGACCTCGGGACCACCTTTAACAATTACTATCATTATTATTATCAATACTTTTATTATAATCATATTAACCACAATTTATGCGGCTTCACAGCAAGAGAAGTTACAACCCTTACACTCATGTTTGTTGTGGTGGAATCGTTTTATCCAAGCCCGCTCAGTGCTGTGGAAACAAAGTCTACAATGGAAACAAACAGGTTAGAACAAGTACTAACACGCCTGAGAGATAATCAAGATGTGACGATCGGATGGTCTTCGTGTCTCCTTTCTGACACAAGACAGGGACTAGATAACAAGCCGATTTAAGACTGTGGTATAAGCTTTGCGTTTCACAGAAGTGTTTTCTTATTGTTAGTGGTGCTGTAAGGCTTGAATTTTGTGGCATTTACATAACGCATTGTCCATACTAATGCCCTTTACAATACTTTGTAGGGGATTTTTGTCAGACCGCATTGAGAAATTCAGAATTATTTGTTGGAAAATTTTACAGATGCCCCGAATAAACAAATAATGATGTGGAAAGCCGTGGCTCAAGCCTTCACCTAATAGAGGTTTCTGTTGTTTTTATCTTACTTCTATGCTTCATTGAAAAAAAAAAAACGCTTTACAAATCTATGTCATCAGATCTGCTGTTCTAATGTCCTTTTCGACAAGCCCAGTGGCATTCAGGTAGGCTGCTGCGGTAGGAACGTTATCTTCACTTCTCATCAGATGTGCTGCGCTAGGAGGGTTGTAAGTAAACCTCACAATGTACAGAACCCAAGATGCTGTGGAACACAAGTCTATAGTTCAAACAACCAGGTACTGACTTTGCCGTAATTGTGAACACCTTCTTAGGGCTGTGAAGCGCGTGGGGAAACGCGGTATGTTTTTTTTCCATCTGCAAGGGTTGCTGAGATGCTGTGCCAGAAAGAACTCCTTTTTCAGGCTCGATGGGAATTCTTAATTTCGGAAAAGTGGGAGAAAAACTGTCATTAAATATCCAAAAAGAGTCTGATAGTTGATCCATCTCATCACGGTGATTGCAGAGGTCAAAATGTTTTAATTCATGAGGCGAAACTTCAGTCAGTATGTTCTTAATTGCGTCAGGTCGAATCAGAATTTCGAATGTTGGTTTCAACGGAAGAAAGAAGAGTAGAGAACCCTTTGAAAATCCTTAGAACCCAGTCCACAGCAGTGGACGGCGAGTGCTCAGACCGCTGCACCGAACCAGTCCCCTGATTATTCATCACTGTCATTCATGAATAAGTTCGCATAAGTAGCTCCGTGTGTCTTACCTTCCCTACAACAAGTACATGTACAAAGTATATCGAGGGGATCCCTTTGAAGTCAAACTTGTAAGAGTCTTGATCTCAGAGCTTAAAATGGGAGACACAGCTCTCTTATACTCTTTCACTCGATTAGCAGGGCACCTTGGGCAAGGTGTGTCCTGATCCGCTTATTTCTCCCTCGACATTGGAAACGAGAAAATTCAGTATTTTATGTTTGTCTTATTTCTATCATAAACTGGGTGGATTCAATAATACTAAATCTTTACGTTGATGTTTAGGTTTGTTGTTCTAGCAAAGTACGCAACGGCAATGCGTGCTGCGGGAGTGTCGGATACAACTCTCTGACGCATTCTTGTTGTGGTTCGGTGGTCACACAAGGCTCGATGTTGTCATCCGCCGGTGGAACGCGAAGGAAATGTTGTGGACAAGCAACTTACTATCCTGACTTTCAGGACTGCTGCTTCGGTAGATACTTGAGGCCCAAGGGATGTTGTTATAACAACAACCAGTGGAGAGATTCCAGTCAGAAATTCAGTGAACTATGCCGGGATTATTAGTAGTAAACTGCGTCGTCCTACGGAAATAATCACCTCAAGCCTAATGGGCACTGCTTCAACATTAAATAGCAAAACATTAGAGCAATTTTCTATTAACTTTCATAAAATTGAAACAAGGGTCTCAAACGGCTGATAGAATATATTACGAGCAAATAGTGAGGTCTCGAATTAAATCATGTAAGCTTCTTGAGGCGTAAGATGACGTGGCTGACTAACGCTAGCTAGTTTCTGATTGGATGAGACGGAGACGCAATTTTTCCGTAAACCAATGACGGAGCGAAGTTGAATAATCCTGGATTGCTGTTAATACTCAATGAAAATTGCACTTTAAGGTTTAGAAACAAAGTTAGAGTCATGCTATAATTTTTATTACTCGTGATTTAAAAAAAAAAAAACTTTTTTTGCTATCGAAATCCTGTGTTTTGAGTTGGATGATATATATTTGCGGTCGTTTGATCGCCTACGTTTCAATTGCTTTACGAATTCAATTCAACGCGAATTTTTTTCATGTTTCTTTGAACATGTGAATGTAAGGATTCCTGGTCAGATTTTCTGGAGAAATTTATTGCACCAGGGAGTGTTAAATAAACCACAAAGTAATGAACAATATGATACCCAAACCATTTGATTGTCTCTATTTTTATTATAAAGAAGTAACGTTTTGATGAAAGTGAAATAACATGGAAAGAGGTATTTGTTCTCTATACATTTCCTTGGGTGCGGAAAATGAGAATTTGTCTAACAATCATGAGATAATTTAGTTGGTGATCATTTCCTTTACTCTCATGACCTTAATGCGTGATACAGTGGTGATATTGTAAGGAGAAATTAGACGCTAGTCACTGTTATCGGTCAAAGGATTGAAGTTCTAGAGAGGCTGAGTCCCTGCGAAGAGATGACCGTTTACAGAGGAAAGCGAGTTACGGGAATTGATTGGCGATCACTTGACAGAGCGCTTTCTAATTGACTGTCGTAAAACCAAAACCAAAGTAATCACAACAGCCAATCAGAAGTTTTTCCTCTGATTGGTTGAGAGAGTTGCGCAAGTTTTTGGACCATTCACAGAGCGAAGTACAGGAAAAAAAAGAAGTCCCGGATTACTTTAGACGCTCATTTCAAAATTACTCTGAAAAGGGACCGTGGATTAGAGATAAAGAGGTTTGATTGTATTTTATAAAGTAAAGGACGGTTAGTGGAGCGAAAAAATGAATCTCAAGGAGAAATGTGGGCTTTTTATGAATAGAATTTGGCGAAAATTTCATCATAAAAAGAGACAATTTGTAATTGTTCTATGGTCCATTAAGTGACGTCACAAAATGGCTATCATAATTATCTAAGTTTGGAGGCGCGCGCATAATTTTTTCATAGTAAAAAATGAAATTACTATGTTGTCTTATTTTTTTTTTGCTTTAGATGCAAGCTTATAAGTGGTAATCTCAGCTCGCCTGATAGATTTATGTCAATAGAGGAGATTGAGAAAAGCTAGTGGGCTTATAGAGGATGGAATAAATGTATATGCATGCGATTAACCTGGGAACTCGTCTTTGGTTTACGACGTAAGCAGAGACATACAGAGGTGGATGAAATTTCTTCTAGATTGTGGATCAGACCCAAATAGGTAAGACTTAAAATTTTGCCTGCACGGAGTAGCATCTTACGATTGACAGAACCTTTTTTTTTTACATTCAAAAGCTACAACCAAAGTGTAATTTCCCTGAATATGGGTTGCACTACTATACTCCTCCTTTGGTGAGGTGACAGGGCCAACATATCGGTTAGTCAGTGGTTCATAAATCTTACACACTTCGCTGTTCATTTTAATGTAAAGTAAAATTAAAACTCTTTATAACCCAAAAGTGAAAAGCATCATATTTTTCCCACCAGTATCAACCGTGAATCAAGTGTTTCGGTCATAAGAATATGGGAAATGATCGCAAACCCAAGAAGCTTTTTGATTGTGGGAAAAAGATTTTCCATGTGAGTACCATGAGAAATGTATAGAGAACAGCATGGAGAACTTACATACAGATGTTAGGGTGTAAGAGCTTTACGGTCAAGTCGCCCGGGAGTCATCTCGCCCGAAGTCATGCTACCCAGAACCTGAGTCATGTCGCCCGGAACCTAAGTCATGTCGCCCGGAACCTGAGTCATGTCGCCCGGAACCTAAGTCATGTCGCCCGGAACCTGAGTCATGTCGCCCGGAACCTAAGTCATGTCGCCCGAAAAAAGGAAAAAGTAAAATTGCTCGAAGAAACAAATACTTAATTAAAAGAAGTGACTTACGGGGTGTAAATAGGCAATAAACTTGAGAAATCTTTATCACTAAAGCGCTCTTTGTTCCGACAACGCTATTCAAAAAAGCGTTGTTCGTTTCTAACAACAAATTCGAAGCGTTGTTCGCTTGGCATGTACTCGTTTCGTACTCACGGACGTTTCGTAAGCTTGAGAGAAGTTATCTTGGTTTCCAACAACATCACGAAGACGTAACGATTCTAAAACCTTTTCTATCGATTCGTACCCAGTGCGAATTCGTTACCAACCCGCTGGTACATCGGGAACGGGCCGTTCAAACACTCAGTGCTGATCAAAATCACAGTAAACCGATGTCGCAAACGACAAGTTAGAGTCATTAGAGTATGGGTATTTGCTAGTTTCTCCCCCATGATTTCTAATTTTTCTGCTCTGAAGCCAGTACAATTGCACACACTGAACGAATTAATATCCAATTTTACATCAATACACACCCTCTGTTGAGACGTAGAACATGGTGCGAAATTCACCATACTAACGTCATCTTTTATTCTTCATCGACAAAACAAATTTATGCGTACAACGTATCCTTGAGTGGCATCTTAGTTCACCCAGTTAGACGAGATACTGCAAAAATATTACTCATTCCTCATCTGCACAACATTAACAGGAGGGGTTACACTCGGTCAATGCGGCATGTTCCAAAAGTAAAGTTAAATATTTAGAGCTATTGCTTCAATATGGAGACACACTAAAACCGATTTCTCTTGATCACAAAGAAAGCCCAGTTGTGTTCGCTCAACGAAAGCAGAACAGGAGAGTTCTTGAGAGTTCTTGAGAGTTCTTGTTCATAAAGTTGTTAAAGAACGAGGACATCTCCAACAAGAGACACGATATGTTAAAAGTCGACAAAAAGAAGGTACACGCATACTTTTGTTTTCTTAATTACTGTCTCGCAATAGTTTGATTTCGAGGTCTCTTGCACTAAAGGCATGATATTCATCTCTCTAACGCTAAGCTAATAATTTTTCATTCGAAATCGATATTCAGTTGTCACCCAAGTTTCCGACTTTATTCGCTCCAAAACCTGTAAATTTGTGCGCACCGAGTGATCTTTTTTTATTTTCATCAATGAATAAGTACACAAACAAATAATACTGAAAAGATGAATAAAGGAGTAAATGAATATTATGGTGCCTGGACCGGGAAAGTTATAGAGAGGGAATGGACCAAATAGAAGGTGAATTGTAAAACAAGACCAGCTGGAGTTTGGGAAAGGTAGAGAGGCAGACAACTGGCTATTAATCGAGCTGTGCTAGAGCTTAGAGGCTGACCTCAGAACTGCCGAGAAACAGGCTCATTTTACTGATAGACCTGAGACTACTACGTCCTTTTATGTTCTGGACTGATTTTGTCACTTTTTGCTGAATTCAGATTAAAAAGAAGCTTGTGACCAATTTTCTTCCTGAAATAACCGCTAGCGAATTAAAAGTCGTCGATGGTAAAGTATTGGATGATCTGCCTCACATGACCCTACAGAGTGCACTGTGGAAACATTCCCCCGTGACTGTAAAACATGTTAAGGGACAGGAGGATGGTAGAACACTTGTAAGGAGAGAAGTGGACATATTGCGGTAAGATTTCTTCTCGTTAGTCCTAAGGAAGTAGAGGAAATGTGCTCATTCCCCCGTACATTTGCTTACAACCAAATTAAAATTTCAGTTAGCCATTCCATAGATATTATTTAACGTCGTTGATGGAATTTCCTAGGGATAACTAAAAGTGCAAAGGTAATGTAAGGCCCAAAGTTCCTCTTATTTGGTTTTCACCTTTATTTTCTTCAACTTGCTTCACATCTTGTTAATTCGAGTGAATGCCTGTGAAATCGCATTCAATCAACAATGATTGTCGTTGTGCACTAAAGAGTCCAAGTAATGGTAGTCATGTGACCTTAAAGGCGGGAAACTATCAAACAGGGAACACAAATAACAAGTAACATCAGTTGACGATTTTTACTTTTTATTTTGTCTCTACAGCCGTTTACAACATCCACACCTGGCAAAACTTCTGGCAGTATGTTTAGATCCTAATCCAGATCATATCTGTCTGGTAATGGAGCATTTTCAGTTTGCATCACTCAACCACCTGCTACACAAAACCCAAGTAAATATGAGCCTACCTGAGAGAATTAATATTTTAATGGATATAGCCAAGGGAATGATTTATATTCACAGGCTCTCCATAATTCACGGATTTCTCAATTCATTTTCGGTTTTCATTGACGAGAAGCTTAAGGCAAAAATCGGTAACTTAGAGTTTTCTCAGAAAGTTGGAGACATCAAACATGAGATCGCATGTTGTGGGATACAAAAGAACTGGATGGCACCCGAACAAATCTCACACGAGCCACCTGATACGCTTACAGCCTCCGATGTTTACAGGTTGGTTCAATTTGCATTCAGATTTACCTTTTTGAGCTCTGATATGCAACGCAAGGGCGGCTTTTCATTGATTAGTTTTTATCTTGTCCAACTGAATATTCTTAAGTTTAGAGAAATAATTACAAATTGTACGCATAAACGCACTTCAATTGAGTAAAACCTAAACCAGAGTATTAAAAGGGTGAATAAGAGCCGGCAAGATGAAATCATAGATAGCCGATGAGGGCTCAAGGGGAAAAAAATGAAACTGCTTGAGGAGCGGGACACGCGGGCGACCCGTGTTGCCAAGTCACGACTAAGCTCAAGTTGGTTGGTTTAGAGGGTGAGCCGGTTTTCTCAGCCAGTCACAAAGCGTTGTACTATAAGGGCAACGCAAACCCTGATTAATCTCGATATTCAATTGAAAATCACTCTATATGAACATAAAAAATGTAACATACACCTTATTGAAAACAAATATTCTAAAAAAAAAAAAAAACACTCAGAGATCCGCTGATTATAGTAACCCATTCACTTAAGCTTCACCTATAATCCGTAGTGCCGAAAAAGACAACACCTTGACTAAAAAATAGTGAGAGGTCTTATATTATAAAGAGTCTGTAATTTTTTATCATTAGCGTATCATTGCCAAGCTAAAGACAGTTGCCAGTGAAGCTACTTAAAATGGATGACACTTAGTTGGATACGCAAGATTGAATAGGAAAGAGGAACAATATATATATTTTTTCATATGCAATGGACTTCTTTTCTCCATAGTGTCTTACATTTTCTGATAGTGGTTGTAATAAATGCAGTAAATGGCTTGAACCCGGGGGTAACATGTGAAGGTGTAGTCTGATCGTCTGGGTGAGTGTAGTCCTGAGAAGGATTGTTGTCGGTGGTAGTGACTGACGTTTCGACAACCTGTGCGGAAGTCATCATCAGAGTCAAGTGAATGATTGTTGTCAGTAGAATGTTCTTATTCCAGTTCGTGTGAAATGATCGGTTGGTTTTGCCGTGATGTTATTGGCTGTAAGACTCAAGTGACGTAAGTCGGTCGTGATTGGTCTGTTTCGATCTGTCGGTAAAGTTAGGTCGTTCTTTTTCGGTCGTTTGTGATGTTTATGTCGTGAATGAGTCGTTTGTATGGAGCGGGTAGTTGTTGACATCTGTTTAGGGGAGTCTGTTCTAAGTTAGTAAACCAGCTTTCCAGAGTCAGTCGTTGAAAATAGTCAGTGCTGTAGGTTAGGCATTGCGCAGAGTCCCAGTCAATGTTGTGGTTGGTAAGTCGATGGTGTTCAGCAATGTGATTGCTGACATCACCTTTCCTCGTCGCCCGTCTGTGTTCAGTCAGTCTTGTTGTGAGGTTTCTGCCAGTCTCACCGATGTAGGAGGCTTGGCAGTCGGAACAATTGATCTTATAAATCGTTCCCTGTCTGTTCCTCGGTTCGTCTTTGTCTTTAACGTTGGTTAGTAACTGACGTAGTGTGGTGATGGGTTTGTGGGCGACGCGGATATTGAAGGGTAGTAAGATGCGCGAGATGTTTTCAGACATGCCTTTTATGTACGGTATGGTTGCTGTAGTCGTAGGGGTTGCGGTGTCGTTTGTTTCGGTAGTGGTAGTGGGTCGGTGAGTGTTTCGTCGGATGAAGTCGTTGTTGTAGTTGTTCTTCGTAAAAACACGGTGAAGGTATTTGTTCTCGTCGGATAAGCTGTCTGTCGAGTCACATACTAGTTGTGCGCGTCGTGTTAGAGTTCTGATAGTTGTGGCTTTGTGTGATGTAGGGTTGTAGGATGACTCGTCTAGTAATCTGTCGGTGTGTGTCGGTTTCCTGTAAACTGTCGT